AGAACCAGTAATTACATGGCTCGGACCTTCCTCGCGGCGGCGCGGAGGGGGAGTCGCACGGATTCGACATGGCACCTCCGGGGGCAAGCTCCTCTTTTGATTCATTATCGGCAAGCTGGGCTGCCAGGGGAACTTCTGCCCTGAGACAACAGCTTCCCAAAAGGGGACAGCTACACTTCTTTTATTATGACTTTGAAAGCAATTTTGCTATTGCTACTTCCCATCTTGCATTTAACTCTCCCAGAAGCCTCTGCCTTCAGCCCAAGTCCCAACGGGAGAGAGCAAACGGCATGAGGTGACTTGTCAGCGCAGCGCTGTTGCAGACCCTAAGTATGGGAAATCTTCTTCTATATGGTCACCCACCTATTTTAGCCTAATCTGAAGGTGCTGAATCAAACCTGCAACCCCTTGAACGTTTTCCGGCCCTGCCTATGCCTTGTGAAGGCCATGCTCTCAGCGCGGTCACGAAGACGAGCAAATTCTCCGTTCCTCCTTTTACAAGGGAGGTAGAGTATAACCCACATATAAACGGATGCAAATAAGATGTAGATAAAGCCTTGTAGGACTGAAAGTTGACCTTCTGTATTCATTTGCGTCGTATTGCATGTTTTGCTTCACGCTAATTGGACAGGTTACCACAGCCCATACTTTGCAGTCTTTCACACGCAAAGTATTACAACGTCTGTGCAACTTTGGGTTAGGCTATTAACTCCGTTTTACAGGTGGGTGGGTGAAACTATGTCTCAGAACGACACGGCCAGGGAGGTCTGAGAGAAGAGGAAACCAGACTGTGCTTCCTCCATCTTAAAAAGTGTATTAACAACAGATTGCTGTGCCCTGCATTAACGTATCCTCGCACGTGGTACACAACCTGAAACGGGGCCCTTTTGGAGCAATTTTACAGTGTCACTCCGGGGAACATGCCCTAGGGCCAGTTTTTCCACCTTGCCTGGTGCTTAGCCAGCAACTGTGAGACATGTAGAAGATGAATCTCTGATCCAGTAGCCAGAAAACTTGGTAAAAAATGCTTCAGCCACTAGTGCATGCACACTTGAACTACCTTCATCAGTTGTGCTTCTGTGACGCGTAGAAGACAAGGACCAAGAACTTGGTCTGCTCTGTAACCTCAGAGGTGAGGTACAAGCACTTGCTGCTGAAGGGCAAGAACACTCCTGTCAGTGACAGATCCACAGTGTACTGGAAGTCATTCCTCTTCCTGAAAGCTCACAACAGACACAGCTACTTGTATGTTTTCAGGTGCTCACATCCATTATTCTTGGGCCAAATGAGAAATTTGGAGCTAGATCACAGTTCAGGTTTCAGGTCACCCCAATCTGCCCCTAAAACTGAGCCCAAGGTTTAGAGCTTGGCTCCTTGTAAAGATAGGACCTTTTGCAAAATTCACACCCAAGCTTTGCTCTCAGTTTTCCAACACGCTGACTTTACTTTGGTTCTGTCTCTTAATTCCCATTATCTTTTCTTTCTCTCCTTATTTACTTCTTAATTTCCATGCGTCTTAATTTCCTGCACCCTGACACCTGCTGAGACTGGCCTCTGCCTACATGTGATTGCACACTATAGTCCTTTCCTCTTCAGGGAAAGGTCAGAAACGGAGGTTTAGTGTGCCAAGAAGAAAGGCAGCAGCAGACAGACAGAGAGCACTCATAAAGATCTGGCTGTGAGCCTCTCTGAGAAAATGTCAGGTTCGGGAGGCTATAATAGCTTTAATCTGCGGTACAAGGGGATTAAAAGACTCGTTCTCACAGGACAAAAAAGAAAGGAGCAGAGCGGAAGGAGCGGAACAAGGGGAAAATGAAGGCTGCAAGGGGAGGAAAGGAGAAAGTTAAAGAGCTCAGCTATAAAGAGCATCGGGATTTAAAGAGCTCCATCCTCTAGTGTAATAAATGTGAAGTGGCCTGCATGGAAAAGGGGCTTTAGCCAATGGCTTTGCTTTTGCTTTTTCACACTAAGCACACACACTTCAGCCTTCTTCAATCAAGGCAACTTGTTATGTTTGGCTTTGTTGATTTTCAGGGGCAAAGGAGTAGGAGGGGGAAACAGAAGGTTAATGAGGCTCTGCCAGATGCGACACTCGGGACAAGCGGTGGGCATTATTTTTCAACAGTGGTTTATGGTCTTTGATCCTCACCCCTGCTGTCCCTCCTCCAGAATGTCCCTCAAGCTCCCCTTGTCCTTGAGGGCCATGGAGGAGCAAAGAGGCCTGGGAACAGGAAGGAAGCATGCTGAATTCTGGGACACTCTCCTCAAGTACTGCTCGAGCAACCTTTTCAGCAGCTCAGCGAGGCCAGGAGATGAAGAGACTGTCATTGAAAGGGGAAGGAAGGAAGGTGACTTTAAATACTTTTTAAAAGAAGAAAAAAAAAATGCATCAGTCACAGAGACGTAAAGGCCAACGAGCCACCAACGTGGACAAGCAAACTACAGTCTAAAAAGGAAACTGGAAACTCAAAAGCCAGCTTTTAGTATTGCTCATGTATCACAAGACTTGGGGTTTCTGGAGGCTGGATGCTAACCACTACTGCCCCACCAGATTAGCAGGGCCTGATTCTTAGAGCTCTGCACGTATTTACATGTGGACACTACCAGTATTCTCCCTGAAGGCCTGAGGACTCTTCCCCCGCCTACTCGTAAGCATATGCTTTAGTTTTCAACGTCTTTGGAGAAATGGTAACACAGGAAGGTGAAAGAAGCCCAGAGTCCCGAGTTCCCTCCCATTAACACATTCACCAGCACCCTGAGAAGGAAGTAGTGGGTTTCTAGCCAGTACATTATGTGTTGAATAAGATCGTGGCATTGGCTACAATTATTTGCTACCTCCTTTCTCAGCTCAACAAGCTTACAAGCCAGGATAGATGCTCCAGGACAACATTAGGCACAATCAAATGTCTAAGGCAGGTTCTCTTGACTATATGAGCAGCTTGGCATAGCGTTGGGAGGCTGGCTAGCCCTCTATGGACAAGTGGTACTCAGGGAGCGGGGGGGAGAAGAATTTGTAACACAATAACCGAGTTCCAGACAGGAATTAGAGTATTGCATATCCAGTGGAGACAGGGCTGGAGTAGCATTAAGGTAGGAAGAATACAATTACCTGAACTGGAATGTGGCCAGGATAATGGCATTAATTTATTTCAAGAAAGCCAGAAGTGCCAAAACCTGGATTTTCCATTTAAGTCCACAATATGACAAATCACAGCATCCTGCTTTCATTCTTCTAAAGCTTTGCTGGAAGGAAAGGTTTCCTGATGAGTTTTGGGCCCTACTGCCTACCGCCCGGGGCCATAACGAGAGAGTCCCCTCTCAGCTTCACTGGGGAAGCCTGACGCGCTGCTACAAGGCACGCATCAGCGAGACAACACCTGCCCAGCTGGTACAGACTAGACCCCATCCTGCTCCCCCAACTCGCCTGCAGGAGTAAAGCCACACTCGGTCACAACTACAACACAAGCAAGTTCTCTCGAGCGTAGCCCTAGTTCGATCTGGTATTAATTATCCACTGTTCTGCAGAGATAAATGCTTAATCCTCCAGCTGTTGACACTGGAAAGGGACCAGTCTACCCTGGAGAGGATATTATAGAGGGGAATTTGGCTTCAGCTATGATCCCTGCATCATGTGCTGTACAAATGTTCACTGGCTTGTAGGTAATGGATTTCATAGGGCGTTCAGGATCTGCTCGTGGCAGAGCTAATCTACAATAATACATGACCCAAGCATTCATTGTATCAAGTTCTTCCTCCTCCTTCTACTTTTTTTCCAACATAATATTTCAACTTTCACAGGGAATTTTTTCTTTTTGAGACATTCTCTCCTGTTTCCTTATAGCTTACCAGCTTTCCTCCTGCAGGACTGATATCAAGGTGAACTTCCTACACAGCAGAGCTCAAGGGATGTGGAGCCCGGTCTGCACGACCCAGCATATCTGGGTGTTTTTCACTTCCCTCCAGAAGCGCTCCAAATTGCTTCTCTGGTCCCACGCTCACTGGAAATCCTAAATCAAGAAGTTGGCTTATCAGGGAGAGAGAAGCAATGCTGATGGCACCAGAGATGGGAGAACTGTTCCCCCTCTCTGACCAAGCTGCAAGCCCGGGCTCTGGAGCTGCCTGCCTTAGCAGCGAACCCTGCTTCCACCGCAGTTGCTGCCATCCTCGCTAACGCTGCCCGTGTGCCAGGGCAAACCGCTGTCCCAGACCCACTGCCACCAGCCCTGTACCTTGGGACACAATTAACACCTGGGGAGATGACAACCTGCCCTTTAAGCTATTTCTGTCCTGAGCAGGCCGTGACCACCACTAACCAGCGTCAGGTTTTCCAGCCAAAGGGCAGTAGAAAAGTTGGCCATTCCACCCTACTGCAAGTTCCTGGATTCCACCAAAAATACGCATTTTCAATCAAGCACTACTGATAAAGGAGCTAAGCCCCTGCTTCCCACTCCAGCCTGGGCTTTCTTGCCTCCCCCCCTGCTTGCTCTCTCTTTTCTTTGTATGCGCTGTCTGATAGGCGGCTTCTTGGCAAGGGTGAATTTTAAATCCAAATGCAGAATTATGTTTGAGATGGGGTATTATCATACACAGTCAGAGCAGAAGTCACGAGTACTTCAGAGCACCAGTTTGTTCCCCACTGATGACAAAATAGGTTCTCAGGACAGCACCGCTCTACACAAATTTGAAAGGCAAAACCCACAAATAGCTGACACAGAGGTTTGAATACTGGAAAGATGACAGGGATTCAGTACCAGGTTACACGCTTTTTTCGTGAAAACTGAAAAACAAGCTCTGGCTCAATATAGCAACCATTATTTTGCTTTTGGTGGCATCCTGAAGCTCTGTAACACTGTGCTCAGTGCTGCACATGCACATAAGCAGAGCCTGCTCCCAGGGAGCTCAGACTCTATTTAGCCAATGACAAGGGAAACTGAGGCAGAGAGAAATGAAATGCTTTCCTCCAAGCCAAACAGTCATCTGGTGGCAGGCTGGAGGCAGACCATGCATCTCCAGTAGGACATACAGCCAGGACCACCCTGGTCTCTGCTTCAGTTCATTTCACACATTCAAAATGACTCAAGAACTCACCCTTTCTAAAGGGCAGGATGCCCATCTGAACCACGTGCTGCTCTGCGTCTAACATGATGTCAGAGATCTGCAAGGCTTTCGGTTGACGTATTATTTCTGGCTGCTCTCATCAGCCTCCCTTCAGTAAGAGGTGACTCAAGCCTTCTAAACAAATTCCTGCGGAAAAGGGAGCTTGCTGGAAGTATTAGAGCCAGAGTGCATTGTTTTTTTTGTGGGCTTTGTTTGTTTTACCAAAGCAGTGCTTTCAGTCATAGTCCAGAGGAAATAAACTTTCAGCCCACCTGAATGCAGGAGTTTGCCTTTGCCACTGTTGTGCTCAACTTAACCTGAAAATTCTGGCAGAGCAAAGAACTGACATTAAGAAAAGAAAATTCTCAACTTGTTAATGGGTTTTATACTCCTTAACAACAAGATATAGAGAGGGGCTACTTGTTCCTATGCTGTTCCTGGGAGAACGGCCTAAGATCTCTGAAGGAGAGAATGGGAGCTTGAAGCCTAGCCAGTAAGAGCATGAGAAAGGGCTCCAGGAGTCTTGGTTTCTGTTTTCCTTGCTCTAGGAAAAGAAAGGGGGTTCTGGAGATTAAAACAAAGATCTCTCAATCCAAACTCCTGGGGTCTGTTCCTGACTCTGTCACTGACTTGAAGTGCATGCGCTTTGTAAACTCACTCCATCTCTCTGCCCCAGCTCCTCCAACGTAAACAGAGGAGAGATGCTGCTACTTTGCCACGTGAGCAAGCTCTGGAAGTTAATTCAAGCCTGCAGAACGCAAGCTTCAAGGTCCTTGCATGAAAGGAGCAGAGGAATACACACACAAAGCGGTTGTCTGGTACAACTGCAAATCATTGTCACAGCATTCCAGCGAAGTGCCGGCTCTCAAGCTATGCTCCTCTGAGCCCGCCAGCGGAAATCACAAATTATTTCCATCAAGAGGAATGACTATGGAGTCATTTGTGTAACGTCAGAGGTCACGGTTAAAGGCAGGAATATTAGAGCTTTCCTGGAGAACAAGAAGTGGAAGCTCATCCTTCCAATGCCACATGCAGTGTCCGTAAGGCCTGGGTGAGACCTCTGACCTCATGTGGAGCGGGCAGCACAGTCCACGTCTGAACGATCCTTCTCAGCAAACAGCTTTTTAAATGATATTCTTAATCAATGACAGACTACAGTCTCTGGCCTCCAAGACTATAAAGTCAATGAGGAAGCAATTGCAAGCAAGCACACCAAGAACATCTGTGACGCCACCAACTACAATACATGGCTTTGCTATATTGTCCCTGGCTGATGGCTCCTTTTCCTCTTGCCTCTCCCACTCCTCTCCGGAGAGTGGATGTAACAAATGCAAGTCACAGGAAAAAAAAGGAAAACGGGAGCCTGGTAGTAAAAGAGAGGGTACAGCGCGGGCTGTAAGTGAATGTTGGGCCTATGGACATATGGGAGCCCTGCCTCCCCAGCCTACTCCTTGGCCGTTTGGGATTGGCCTCTATAAAACATTCCCCAGTGCTTTGCCTCATCTGCTCTTCAGTTACTTGATGCACATGCTCTCCCCTTTTCCAAGCAGGAGGCAAACTGACTCTCTCCGAAGTGCCACTGTTGAGAAATTACACTGATAACAGAAGTAAAGATTGCTTTGCTTCATTTCATTGTATTCTGCCTGGTCTTGGGATGTCTTTGGAGCTCCCTAAAACTACACTTGCTGGCAGTAATCTAATCCTTCCCAGTATTTATCACACATCACACAAACAACGGAAGCGTGAAGAAGCACACACGCGCCTCCATTATTAAGCAGTTGCCTCTGGAAAGAGCAGAGCCTGCGCTCTCAACAGTACACACGCTGGAGGCACGCAGCCTTCTCTCCAAATGTGCCACAGAGCGTCCAGCTCCAGCTCAAAGGAACAGCAGGCTGTATGAAATGCACCATGTGATACTGTAGCATCAAAGCTAGCTGTGATCCTGCACACTTCTCTCTTGCTGGGTCTTCCAAGTGCTTAATCTGTAGCAAATGCCAGGAAGCAGCGTCCACTTGAACAATAAAGTCCAGTGCCGGTCAGTTTGACGATCCATACCCTCGGATTAATAGATCTGTTGGTGTGCATTCTCCTTGTCCATCTGCTCTGCCACATATTAGACAGCTAGGCAATGTAAGCTTGCAAAACCACTGAAATCTGGGATGTTCTTGGATGTCAGACAAACATGCCATTTGGCACTGGATGGCAGGACCTTACAAGCTTTCCAGAGCACCCTGCACACAGCTGTTACTACAGCAGGCATAGCAAACAAAAGCATGGTGAGATAGCAATCAACAGCAGAATTAAGGTGGTGCTTGCAAGCCATTTGTGGTGGTCTAACCCACAGGCTGCCTTGAGATGTGTCCGATATTCCTCCCAAGCTCAGAGGTGTTCACTCCTCTCCAAGAGCTTGACTGTGACAAGCATTTTGGCATGGGAGCTGATTTACTTGCCATGTGTCACACATGGGCCAGCTCATTTTCTGTCACGCCTTCCAGATGAGAGCCTCTGGGACTGACTAAAACATGTCTCAGGAGGCAGAACACAGGGCAACAGGTCCAACTAAGCCACTGGCCCTCTTCAAGCCTAGGGACAGTCCTGTTTTCCAGCACCACAGTTTACCCTACTTGCCTCCCTCTGTTTAGGCAGCAAAAAGTGCCAGAACGAGACCACACTGGAGCGGTGGTAGCGCAAGGCAGCTCATCCGTCTCCCTAAGGCAGGACAGCAGCTTTGATTTCTGCATCCCTTTGGACTTGGCAGGTAGTTGGGCAGGCGAACGGGTTCCTGATTCTGACTTGAGGGCTATCATCGCATCTCTGTGCTCCATTTTTTCCTCATTTGCCTTCTGGTAAAGCAGAGGGAACAAGACAGGCACAGGGCTGGCTGCTTAGAGGAAGCAAGGACAGCATTTGGTCCTCCTTTGACAGATGTTTCTCTAGGATAGGTTAAGAGGGTACTGTCATGTCATATCTCTGCATGTCAGCGCCAGATGAAGCTTGAGGCCACAAGAGCAAAGCTTATGTGCCATCAACTTTTATCTGTGCGGGATGTTCAGACACGTGGAACACAAAACTACATCCAAAGGAGGTTTGTGACCAGCCTGCACGTCCTTCTCAGACGGTCCAGCTCAGCAGAGATCAGGCATCTTCCATTCAGGCTCTCCATCATGTCAGCAACGGAACAGACACTATACGGCGGAAAAACATCTCCAGCCACTGACACTGGTTTTAATCTATCACACAGGCGAAACAGAGAAGCCTGGAAGAAGTCTCATTTAGCACTGGCTGGAGGAATTCTTTACAAGAAGCTCCCAGACAGGTTCAGCAAATACTGAAAAAAAGAGATCAATCATCCTATGCCTGTGGCTTCTCTTCTGCACTGCTGGCTATGCCAGCCCTGGTTAATGTGCTGAAATGCCTGCTTTCTCCAAGCTGCTAGAGGCAGACGGCACGACAGCTGTTGTCTCGAGCTCATCGCTGGAGTCCTTCAGAACTAAGAACTCCAGCAGAATGTCCAAGAGGCAGAAAACCAGGTGCCTGAAACGGAGAGAAGAGAAAGCTTAGGCTGGTCAGGGTGCAGCGGAGCTGGGAGATCAGCTCTGGAAACACAGATGCCAAAGCTCAGGAGAGGAAGAAGCGTTCTGACTGCCATCAGGGGATGGCCAGACAAAAGATCTCATACCCCAGAAGAAATGTGTCAGTGGATGGTTCAGGTTTTTCTTCCCTCCCAAACCCGTGGGCGTTTGAAGCTGCTAAGCAGTATAGCAGGTACAAATGCATCTCCTGGAGCGAGGCACGCTTATTTCTCTACAGGTAATCACAAAAATATTGCCTTCAAAAAATACTGCTTTCCAAACATACAGCATTGGGTATGCAGATAACCACCATCTACATACACACATATCTAAGTTCTTCTAAAAAAACAATGAGTCAAACTAGGATTTGGTTTTCTTTCCTCCTGTGACATCTATAGCCTCAGCTGGCCCAATGACATAGTTAACATGATTGGGTCAGTAATTTCCAGACAGACTGAGGTCTTAGCCATGCATGTTCATAAGCAGCACCTCGGATTCCCTTTGGTAGTATATGGAGTCCAGGAAAACTAGACAGATATATTCTGTGCCAGGAACCTGGCAGCATTAATCTGTCACAACACGGCCCTGAGCATAGCTTACAGACCCTACTACAAAGGCTACCAAGGTAAGGAGACTATAATCAGACATACCTGTTTATCACAGGCTGACTCAGTGACTCCAGGACCAGGTTCCAGCTCAGGCGACATTTACTAGTTCCCAGGATTTCTTGGATCACTTCTGTTAACAACAGAAAAACCTTTAGGAACAGCCCCGTTTCCACTATAGCAAAACGGGGTCAACCTTCTCCCAGTGGAGGCTAAATAGATGCTTATGATGGTTTTATGGTGCCTTGTCTGAGTCCAAAGCACCTCATGCCCAACGTTACCATATGAGAGAACTGTCAGGTACAAAACTGAACAAAAGGAGAGGGTTCCAGCCTGAAAGGGCATATACAAGTAGCACTTTTCCCTCCCAAAAGCATAGCAAGGGCCCCTTACGCTACAGCAAGGGGTTAAAGTTCAAACCGCACTCATATGGATTAGGCAGCAGCTGCTTTAATGCCAAAGGTCTCCACATCAAACTTCAGCAGAGGGAAATCCAAAGCAGCTGGGCTAATGATTTCAGTCAGTGGAAAAGCTGCTCTGTCATCTTTACAGCAAGCAGTCCAAGGCTTTGCCTTCTGACCCTTCTCAGCAACGGTATCTTTGGCAGCAGGCGAAAGCACAGCACGGCACTGGCTTTCCTGAGCCCTGCCTTCTTAGAGCGTGGCTCAGCAGGAGCAGCACCACCAGCTGAACTGCCAGCACTAACCACAGAGCATGTGGCAGCCTGCATCTTGGAACCACCAAAATACACGTCCTTTCTCCCTCAGTCCCATGCTGCTCCCTGAATGCTTAGGCAAACAGTCTAAAGGAACTGGGCAGAACTCTGTGGCTTTTACTAAAGGAAGCGTCATACAGGCCGTTCAAACCCTAGAAGTCATAAACATTTCCCAGTGCCTTGGCATAAGTAGGCTCCACCTCTGTTTGCAACCCTATTGCCAGAGATGACCCCACTCTGGAGGGTTCCCCAGCCTCTGCCTTGCTCCTTTCTCAAGGGCAGCTGACAAGTTTCTGGGACACACTTACCAGGTAAGAGTCCCATCAAGCTCTGCAAGGCCTGCTCTGCTGCTGCTTTCTTCTGCTCCTGTGTCCTGACGGGCTTAGGCACTGCTGGTAAAACTCCTCCAGGCCAGATGGATTCCTGCAGCAACTGGAGATACTGGACCCAACGCTGGGTGCAGGTCAGGTTAACCACCTGGACTTCCAGCCACCTGTGGGCACAAGGAGAGAGAAAGGTCAGGCAAAGCCAGAGCTGGTACTAGCTCAGGAGCTTTCCACTGCTCAGAAGCTCTAGAGGGGAATCAGCTTGCTGGGTAAGTTAACATGCAGTTTTCAAGCGTGTACATCAAACATTTTCACAAGTATTAATTAGATGAACTTCCCTGTACACCAGGAGGAGGTAAAAATTTGCTCTCTTACAGACAGAAACACATATGTGAAGTCATAGAGGAAAAGTAAGAGCCATGAAAAGCCTCATTTCCCTGCTGCCCACTCGTAATCAAAGGAGTAACTGGTCTCCAGCAGGAACATACCTAAGGGATATGACTGGCCTTAATCTCTTAAGTGACATAGTCCTAATGGCCACACAGTCAGACAAGAGCTGAGGCAGGGCTGGGAGAACCATCCCCGTCTCCTTGCTCCAACCTGGTGTTTTAACTCTACAACAGCCCTCATGACTCACTGCAAGGACAGGAATCAATGTGGTTTGCCAACCAGTGCTCTTCCCACCAGCCCCTTTGCTGCAGAAGGGCAGTTGATGGTGTCTCGCCTGGAGACCGAATCACACGCCCAGGATGGCAAGGCTCAAATATCCTGCTGCTTTGCACTCCTCTTGGCTCCTTGCTTCCCTGCTGTCCAGCCCTGCTCAGTCCACTAGTGGCACGCAATGAAATCATCACAGCTCCCATCCAAAGCCCCGTGCTGCACATCTATTAAAAGGAAAGTTAGGAACCTGCCAATAAAACTGCTTGTTGGCCCTCCTGCTGGGCCAAGACTGTGGCCTTTATTCGGGAACAACCTGCAACTCCCGAGGCTGTGGCCCACGGAATATTCGCCTCCACATAAGGGCTTGCAGACAGTTGCAGTCCACGTGGGGAAGATTTGTCACCACCACCCAAGTTGGCCAGAGAAAGTTTCTAAATCAATCATGCAGACCCTCTTTCCAAGATGTTAAATCACTTTCCCATATAATAGGAAAGGCCATGGCTGTCAGTCAAAACTCACCACCACCTAAAAGCTTGCCTACAGAACCATGAGGGGTCAACGGCCAAACCCCTCACGCCGCTGAGGTCAACAGGAGGGTGTCCGTTGACTTCAGTAAGCCCGCGACTTGGCCACACATCGACGGAGCCAGCCCACCCTGCTGCTGGGGACCAGACAGCCTCATAGGACCTCAGCCCTCATCAGTGGGAGGCTCCAGAGGAAACAGAGGTGGGTTGGGCTAAGGGAGAAAGCTTGCAGTTTTGCCAGTACTTCAAGAGCCTCTGAGGAGAGGAGTCCATGAGCAGGGCCAAGAGACCCGTTCCACTTGGCAGCTGGCGTTCGTGCTTGCAATTCCGTCACCACTACGCCCCGGCAGCTCACAGTACGTCCAAGAGCACGGGCCCTGCCAAGGCAAACTTTATTTAACCTGCGCTCTGCCAGACTGTCTGCATTCTTCTCAGGCTAGGCACGCGGGCCAACGTCTTCTTTCCCCACGCAACCGGGGCAGCACAAGCAGAGCATCGGGAATAGAAACACCTAAAGGTAACCTGGGGCAAAAGAACGTCAGGTTGCCAACATCAGGGGACAGGGCTGCAACATGCTGCTCCCTTTGACAGCCCAAAACAAGATGCCTAGCTACAGGTTTTTAGGCACTTTCCAAAACGCATGCCCAGGAAAGACCAGCTGCAAAAGCAAAGATGGCTCAAAAACATGAAGCCAGCCTTGGCGCATTGCAGCAGTAAGGTCTGTTACATCTCTCAGGCTGTTACTGTAGCCCAGGCAAATGCTCCTGTGCACAATATTAGAAACCGTGCTGGAGATGGAGAGATGCAGCTTTCATGCTCAGCCTCGCCAGGGACTGCAAGTACAGATGTCGGGTAGGAAACTGTGCCAGAGATCAAAAGCATAATTTCTGCCAGTATTAGAGGGCAAAAGTGTCTCAACATTGTCTTGTCTGGGAAAAAGCCATGTTTGAAATACAATGGTTTAGATGAGTTTTTAATCTCTAGCTATCATCAGAGTTTAACATCTTGGAAAATCTTGCAAGTGGATCATGCTAAACCCTCCAGCCATCCCCAACCACATTATCAAGGTGTTAAAACCTTGGCTCCTCTAGGGACAAGAGCTTTCATTAACATGCTTTAAAATACAATCTGCTTTCCTAACTGAGAAAGTGTCTGGCAGGCAACAGAAGTTCAGAGACTTGGGGACAGAGCTGCAAACAATACAAGACCGCAACTAGGGACATCAGATTGAACGCTGACTTCAAATTCATCTCACCAGTAGTCATTTACCGTCCTTTAAAAGTTTGCAAAAAGCAAAGAACAAACTTGCTTTTTCTGGGGAATGCTCCTAAAATAAGCAAATAGTGCAAAGAGTGAGAGTTGAACTTAGAAAAGACAGCGCACGTTTCCAGACAGGAAAAGAGGACTGAGAAGCGATGGATGCTGGAAGGCCCAATACAAACAACCTACCCATTTTTAGCTCATTTATTTTCATAAAGTCCCCAGAACTAGGCAACAAGGCCTAAAAGTAACACCTATGAAACTTATCACATGTCCAGACATTTTGATCATGCAAGTGCTTACAGGTCTTCGTTCCAGCAATTGCAAAACACACTTGAGGGATTTTTTTTTTTTTTTTAACTCATTCTGGGACTCTTCACTCCCCAGACTGGAAGGCAGGAAGCTGAACAGCAGGACCCGAGAACAACTCCCACCACACCTCCAGCTCCATGCAAGTCCTGAGAAGATGCTGACTTGCCCCCAGTAAGGTGCTCAGAGAGCAGAATATTCACACTCGGAGCATTTTATGGGCAATGCCAACCCCGCTGCCAGGAAGTGGGGGGAAAGATCTCAATACCACAGAGCGCACAAATGAGAAGAAACTAGACAATGAAGAGACAAGAAGAAAGAAAGAGCAAAGCTGGGTGACAGAAGGAAGGCACACTAAGGTACTGTGCTCAAGGTTCCCCTTTGTCAATCTACCGACGTCTGGACCCACCCGAAAATCCCTGGGAAGAGAGGAAGAGTCAGATGGGTCCATCTAGCCCAGCATCCTTCCCGGGAAAGTGGCTGACGCTCTCAGACGCTCCAAGAGAAAAATATCAACACACAGTGACCTGTCCATTTTCTTCCTTCCTCCCGTCGGTTAGTGCTCTCACAGCACTCTGAACCTGCTCCTGGTAAAATCACTGCGAACACCTGCTTTTGGGGACGCTCACTACATTTGTGCGAGAAATAGAAGTGCATGCAGAATCGATGGTTAAATGGTGAAGAGGAAAAAAATTCCTCAGCTCTGATAACTGTAGTTGCAACTTAGGGAAGGTCATAAATTTCTACAGAAAAATCCTACCCGATTCATACCCAAATTTCTACGGCAAATTGCCCTTCTATCAGGTGGACTTGCTGTGCTAAGTCTGCACCAGTGCTCGATCAGAACAAACAGTTCACACTTCTTGTGCAGGAACTTCAACCACGTGCAGGTCCAAAGCTGACCTTCACCAGCATCTAATTCACAGACCATTTTTGGTGGTATTAAAGGACTAAACACTTCAGATCCATATACACATCAAACACACACACACACGCCCCTACTCCCAGGTAGAAACGAATCCTTTAAGAAACACAAATACAGCTGGCTTTTTTTTTTTTTTTTTTGGATGGATGGTAAGTTACTATTTCTGCTCTGGTATTTCATGAAGAAACAGCTTTAATAAGAAAGAAAGAAAAACAAACCCACCATTGAACCATCTCCTTACACTTCAGCAGAGACCAGAAATATAGAAACTGACCTCCTGGACTCAGACGTTCAAACGTTGTGATGATGCCCCACGCAAAAAGACAGACTGCAGAGGCTACGAGGCCCTGGCCATTTGTCTGGAGGTGCATAACTTGCCCATGCCGTAAGGGTCCTCTGTTTGAAATAGCTGCCGATGGAGGAATGAAATGGCTGCTAAAAAAGAGCTGGTTTAATGCCATGGCTTAAGCTGGAACTCCAAGGTCAGCTGAAGGGGCCCAATAAGATGGGAACAGCAGAAACGTCCTGGGAATGAGAAACAAGGCCTGGTGGTACATACCTTGGCCCTTCTGCCACCTAAAACAACATGGGCTGCTACCATGGGACAGCCTATGGTAAAGACGGACTGAGAGTCAACAGCAGAGGAAACTGAAGTGTGCAGACCCAAGTTTACCTGGCTCCTGCAAGCTGGTGACTTAGGTGGACCAGCCAGAGGGTTCGCCTGCAGATGGAAAAGAGCTATGCTCTGAGTTAGGGTTGGTTGGATTTGGTTAGTCCGGAAAAGAAAAACGGACAGGGAATGGACAGGCAGACGTGATCACATTCAAATTTGTAAAGAGCTACTAGAAGTCGGCAAACCTCTGCTCCTCTTGTCCATGAAGGTTAGGACAAGAACTGCCCAGCTCATTCGGAAAGAGGAATGGTTTGGTTAGACAGTCAGAAAAATGTCCAATACTGATCAAGATTAAGATCTAAAACAACAGCAACAGTGCTTCCCCAGTATTGCTAATTTTAAGGATTCAGACAAGCACAAACTGGAGCCTGCCTTAGGAATAAGAGAAAGATTGGAGAACCTTTACTAGACCAGTTTAGCTGTAGAAATACCTACAGATCTATAACTATACATGATCTGTGCATAAAAGTAGCAAGCCAAGCTCAACACCTAGTGCTTTCTTCTCACAATCACTTCATGCCAGAACAAAGCCTCTGTTTCCCTGAAGTCAGGTAACACAGCACGGCTAACTGGAAAGTCAAAAAAGGCTTGTGAGACCAAGGTAGTGAAGAGTTTAAGAAAACGGCAACATCTGGAAACGCACAAGCCATTTAAGCATCTGACTCTTAGGAACTCGAGAAAGGGGGGTACTGAAATCACTGGACCATCCCTCCCTTCTCAGCCACTGTCCCCCAAATCGCACCTCAAACTGCAAAAATATCCTTACTCAAGGGCTCAGAAAGAGCAACATTTCAGTGCTCTGACTGTTAAACATTT